CGTTTCGGCTCACGGTTTTTTCTTCCTCACAATGCCACTGTGGCGTTTAAAATGAATTGACTCTTAAATTCTTCAGAATAAAATGTTGTCGGAGTTTTATTAAATCGAGTGTAACCATTCCTGACATTACGCAAATGGCGGGTCCTCCCCTACATCTGTCGCAGGGATGCACCCCCTTAATAAGTGTTAACGCTCGCCGGCTGCGATGAACACTCGGTCCCGGCTCAAGCTAAATCTCTACAAATTCCTTGATACAAATTAATGCCGCGCGAGGACTCCACGAGCGTCTCTTGTAATTTCATTTTGTAATACCATCGCGCCCCTACGGCGCGTTACAATACGTGAAGGCATCCGGGACAAAAGTGGGTACCTATCCGGCTATTACATTCAATTTTACTACTTACTTTAAGATAGTGTTAAAATTTGCTTCTCTTATCTTTGTCTTTCTCTTTTATTTTTGTAAGTTCAATAAAATTTTTTTATACTAAATAGAATAGACAAAGGCTAATTAAAACTATTAACAAATAATGTGAGACATCTTCATTTGGCATAAGATAATTTTACAACAGTAATTAGTGTATAAAAGTCAACAATAATAACGAAATAACGCTATAAACTTTTAAGTAACTAGCTGAACAGAAGTTTTTATTTTTGTGAACTTAAATCTTGTTTTGTTTTAATTTATTTAAAACATTAAAACTGTTATATCTAAATAGTTCACCGTTTGTATTCCTTCACGATATAAGCAAAAGTTTTGGTATAAGCACAAGCGGTATAATCTAACCAAAGAAGCATAATAAATTATGTAAGTTTCGAAAAATAATTTGCTTTAATATAAATGTGAACATAATATAATGTCTCTCAAATATTTCCATAGCCTGCAGAATAACTACCACCCGCGCCTGATATACTGCCACAAAATCAGAGTAATACCAATTTATTTCCATTTTTCGGACCATTAAGCTTGAACAATAACACGGTAACGGAGCACCCGAGTGAAATGAACGAAATAGTTCCAAACTGGTATCATCGTTGTAAATGTAAATGAACAATTAAAGCGGCCGCCGTGGCCAGAGACAATGATGATAATTATTTTAGTTTGTGTCGAGGCGGCTGTCAGTTGACGCTCTGCGCCCGCCCGCCGCTCGCCGCTCGCCGCTCGCCCAATGGAATGCTTCTCGGACCTCTATTTCCACCATTGTAGAACGACACTTCTGCTATTCGTAAATTATTATCAGCCGGCGCTTTCATTACTTGGTTTTGTAACAAAGGAGCTCCACAGTCGTAGGCACGTAGCGATTCAACTTTAGAAACTTTGAATCCACCGCGCCTCAGACTCCATTGTTCCCACTCACTAATCAAGACTCATATTAGAGTAAGGATGAAATTTTGATTAATTCGTTACGACGTTATCGCTGGTTAGTTCATCCGAAGAAGTTTCGTGGAAAGCTAACTATTGAATAATTGCAGCGCGCCATTAACAATTTGCGCTGCGAGTTCTATGCTCATAACTGTCGTTGATATTTCAATACGGCGCTACGTTACACATCGATATGCCTCAATAGTAATGTTAGAGGGGCGCCTAAGATAGTTACAATTTTGTAATATAAATATCCGTTATATTATGTTAATAGAAAAAGAAAAACATATTGTGATCATACTTACAAATCCAATGTTACTGTAAGATGTTTGATGAAATTAAGAATTAGCCATATTTGTGTTTTATGCCTTTCTTATAACATTTGTTGACATAATATTTGCCAGTTTTTCTGCAGTAGATCATCATACAAGAACATGTAACAACATTTGTGTAATGCAGTTAATTAATAATTACACAGATCGCTCAAATTTGTTTTATCTTCATTCCTCAAAATAAAGTAGTTCATTCAGAATGTTTGTACAGAATCTGTGTGTATGCAAAGAAGATTGCACATTATGCTTAGACTGTAAACGCAACCATCCAATGACATTTTCATGGCAAACGGCTCTGTAATTAAATTTCATTGATTCAAAGCTCATTTGCGAAGTGCGCCGAATGCCTACATATCAGTGGCCGCGCGAGAGTTGCAGGGGAATGAAAATGGTTCGCATTTGGCAGTGGCGGAATGCTTTCAACGCGCGTAATTCAGTTAAACGTGTAATTTATGACTGACCAAATTACTGGCATCGCTCTGTCCGTCTGTCTAATATAATCCTTACTATTGCAGCGTTTCATAACTCGTTAATTTTATATCATTCTATGCGCATTGTCACTTGATAAGCGCATTCCGATCCATCGATTTCTCTGTAACATTGTATTGGTTTGTTTGTGAATTATTGGAATTTGTATTAGTACATAACTTGCATGAAATATTTCAGACTCTCATTTGATTACATTCGGACTTTGGAATACAACGTTAGATAGAATATTTATTCACTCTTGTGCTTTTGCTCAATTTCTTTAATAATGTTACGTCCAAACCATCTTTAACAAGAATTGTTCTAACGGGTTAAAAATCACGGTATTTTTACAAAATCGATACAAGTAATGTCATGAATAATCACAAATGTTTATTTGTTACTAGCACACATAAAATGGTACAACAATCGAAAAAAACGAAAAATAGACGTAAAAAAAATTACCAATTTTTTGTAACTAAGAATAATATTATGAAACCTATCCTCATATCACCATCTCCTGAATCATATTCTCAACATAAACATCACTGACTAAACTATTCGATTGACAAAACTTTTATTTGATTCGCAATAGTACTCATAGAGTATTTTAGTACGTTGTAATCTATACTATTATAATAAAGCGTAAACACACACTTCTTTATTGCCTAAGATGTCAGCAATTACAGCAAATTTTTGAATATTTTTTTTTTAATTAGAAGCCCTACACTTTCGTCACGCTTTAGGCAATATATTTTGACGCCATTAAACTTAGGGGGTAAATATTTTGGATACAAACCCTAATGTGAGAAAGAGACCATAAGTTGCTGCCAACATCCAGGAAGCAAGGTTGTCATCATGTCATGTCATTTTGACATTTGTAATTGCTAATTTGACAAATGTAAACAATGAAATAAAATTTTCGTAATTCCATGCGGATGAAGTCGCACAGGAACAGCTAGTTCAACTATAATATGCAAGCTAAGGACATGGAACTATAAAAATACTTGATGGCTGCGAACACCGAGAGCGTCTATGGTTTGCTTCTAATTTCGTTTCGTACATAAAGTCGGTAGGTGTCGGTCTGTTTTGTCGCCGCCCACTCTCACTTTTATTTTATAATCATAACGTTTTCTTCAAAATTCCTTAAAGATAGCAAACAACATTCTATTATGATTCTTGGTCACAATTATGACATCGCTCGAGTATGTGAGTCTATAAGCGAGGAACAGTTAAACCAAACATGTTTTTGTGCAAATAATTAAAACTAATAAAAATTACTCATTATAGTTTGCCTGAATAAGTTAGATTAGTTTGACAATTCATTTGTCAATTTAGTAGGGATGGGTTGTATAAAATACGATATCTGTCTATTAAGTACGGCATTTACCTTCATACAAAATGTAATTCGATACTTGATATGTGTCATTTATCAAACTAATGTATCTTATTTTGACAAACTTTATTATAATAAACACCAGGATCGAATAATTGACATAATTCTCTAAATACTTTAGTGGTATAAAAAAATATATAAAAGCACCTTAATGGCAAAGTAGTGAATAATATTCATTTATATAAATGAACAATTTTTTTTCTATTTTTAAGGGAATTAAATGTTATAAAAATAACCACATAAGACGTAATTTGTAGAATTGGATTGAATTTTTCACTTAAAAAAAAAACATATTTTCTAAACTGAATATTGCATACAAAGCTAAACAAAGATTAAACAGGAGATATAAGACAATAAAGCATTGGTACGGTTTAAATTTAAAAAGCCATCGTAAATCTAGAGCGGGCGCTCACCGCCGGCGCCGCGCGTCGCTTCGAACAACGCGATTTATGGATAAGAAACAACACGAGCAGGATTTAAAAGACAACAACGTTAACCGTCTACAACCTTAATACTCATCAATCTATATTTTATCTTAAGCTTAATAATCCTTACTACTTAAAAGTTGTTCGTAATCATAGCTAAATATTTTTTTAGTCCCAGTTTCAATTATATCACAAAATTGCTTCCTCCTTCTATATCAATTTCCTAAAAAATGTAAGCTCCTATTTTGTAACTTCCGTGTCAATAAATAATTGCCAAAGATAAAAAACAAACAATAAAAGTGTTTAAAACGACTTGCAACTTTGATCTCCTTTAATCGCCGAAAGAATACATCAACGTCAATGGCAATATTGTAAAACATTTCCAGAAAAATACACGTTTGTGTCCTTTATTTTTAGCCATAGCTACTGTATTGTATTCTAAGCGTTTAAAAAAAGCTTTTTAAATAACAGATACTAAAGTCATAAACTTAAAATCACATTCCGACTTCTTATAGTAGAGTTGTTGCTGCCGAATACTAAAAACGAGTATCAAAAACTTTTTCTTAAATGCCGCTTACAATGTCAGATGTCAAAATTTTAATGGGATCTGGAGTCTAATTATTTTATTGTCGTTTCAGTATTTGTCCGTAAAGTCATCTGGAATTTAATTTAAACTTATTTCGATGTACGAACAGATACTATATGATTTGGTGCGTGATCAAAACGTCGAGTCACATTCACTAATCTAACCCGATTATCTCTGGACAGTGATAACTTCATGAGAAGTCTTGTTTCTAATAACAATTTAGAGAAATGACGATATTTACTTTCGTGTAGTGTACCGCTGTTGAATATAGGAGACCGAAGTTTCATATTAAACAGAATCATAGATTAGAATGTCCTAAAAGTCGATGGAAATATGATGATTTTCTCTGCAATTATCTACTTCAACAAAAAGCAATTTTAAATATTGTTTTTAACCGATTTAGTGTTATAACTAATCACTAAAAGTAAACATTTACCTGAATTAGTGAGTGTATTATCACCAAGGCCGGTGGATGTGTCGACGTCCGCGTGCGCGTCCGCGGCGGCGCCGGCGACGACGGCGGCCAACAGTGCGCAGGCCCACGCGCAGCGTGCCACCCAAACTGACATACTGCTCCCCTCACCCATCGCACATCACCAAATCAAATTTCAGTTCAGGTATCGGTCACTAATAAATAAACAATTTAAACTAAATTAATCGTAAAGTCCAACATAACTTTTTGAAACTTTGAAAATTAAAAGTTCGTTTCGAGTCGATCGCGTGAAGAGTTGTCACTGCGTGGTAGTGTTCGCGTCGGGATGTCGACGTCGAGTGTCGGCGTGGATACGGCGCGGTCGCGATCGCGGCGGCACTGTCCGCGCCGCACATTGCGGCGACCGGCTCCTGAGAACTCGCGCTGTGCCGCGCCGGCCGCGGGTGGGCCGCTGCGCGCGCACCCCCAACCCCGACCAATCGCGGCGCGGGGGAGGGCCCGCGTATAAGACGTACGGAAGTATATGCGAAGGCCTATGTACAGCAATGATAGCGGACAGGTGGTTTCGCGGCCGTAATTAGGCTACTGATAACTTATTACTGGCCACATAAATACACCTAAAAGGCTAAACGATTAAGATAAGCTCGAAACTGCCTTTCATGGCCATCTTATCCTTTACTGATCCTTTTCTCCGTGCTCCATTTACGTAATGATTACTAAAATTTAAAAGAAACGAATCGCTTGATAGGTGAGGAGATAAGTTAAATTGCCTTACCACTCTACCATAGCTGCTTATTTATGGCAATACTTTACCTTTGAAAACAGATTAAAGAGCTTGTAACTCTAGTTTTTTAATAGTCACCTTTATGCTACGAACGAAAAGTAAAAACTTAAGTAGTACAATAATCTATACTAACTATGGAAAAATTGTACAATCGACTACAGGCATAGAAATGCATATATCTATGTCTAAGGTTATTTTCTTACGATCACAATCACATATTAAGAAAAAGTGAACGCCGAACACACAAACTAAATATCAACGCCGACGAAGACAAAAAAATTATGTCGATAATGGAAACCACAATGCCTAACAAGAAACTTTACGTATGTTATCATCATTGCGATTTTTTTAAACGCTTAAACTTAATTTTTTGATAATTTTCCTTTGCCCAGATCTAATTCCATAGCACAATATTGGATTTGAAAAAGTAACAGTTTTACGAGTAAGAGACAAAAGATGGTCGAGGCAATGACCAAGTGTTTAGTAAGATCATCTGAGCTTTATTATTTACTGCTTTATATTATTTATTTGCTTTATATTTAAAGCTAAAATTAACATTTTCATTAATTCAATCGGCTGCTACCTTTGTCTTCAGTTAACATCGCGAACCTTTTAAATGTTAAACATTTCTTCACATTTACATATCCGTAGATGTGTAACAATTTCTGACGGCTTTAATTACACTAAGTTAACGACATGTTGAATTGAAACATATCTAATCATCCTAATACTATCAATGCAAAAGTTTAGATAGATGGTTTGATCGATGTTCATTAGAGTATGTAGTCTAATCCTCGAAACGGATTTCTATAAAACTTGGCATAGATGTAGAGGATAGTATGCAAGAACGCATAGGTTACTCACTTTTGTTTTTATATAATTCCAAGCGAACGGAATAGAGGGCGAAAGCTAGTTTTTATAAAATAAGGAACTATGCTTCATAATAGCATCTGGTGATCTGTTTATTACTACAAGATCAATCTTGCATTCTATGCCAAGGCAATCATTATAGGTATACTGAGGGAGTTCATATTAATGTTGGCGGTTTTATAATTTTATCGCAAGCACATTGAAGTTCACATCGCGAGAGTCATCAAAGCGTTACCATACTGCAGTATCTAAGCAATACTTCATACGATTTTATATTAACAGCATAACCTAATAGAGATAAAGAAGCTATGTCTCCATTATAGTCATACACAGTGCTTGTACTTGCTACACATGTTTTCAACGGTTGTTTTTACAGGCCAGTCGTTTAGTTTCACGGATTAAATGTTTTTCTCCTCCAACACAATATATTAATTTAGTAAATAACTCTGAATAGTTAGAATCATCGACATGAAGAGGTCATTGCCTTCTTAATTGAGCGTTTTTTAATGAAAAAATCAGTAGGTAGAATATAAGTGTATTAGTTTTTTTAATATTCGATACATCCAATACCTACGACAAATCCAATCTGATGTAAAGAATCCTTACTGAGAAATGGACAACTTTTTCTTTACAGAGGAACGTATGCAATTTGCATCAGAACTAATCTAATTTTCTGTAGCAGCGTACGACGAAGGTAAATCTAATTTAAAACTGAATTTTCAATATAAATTCAAAGAATACTATAATCTAATACGGTTCGGTATTTTATTTTTGAACTTTTTCTTATTAAAATACGTACATTTAACTTGGCTTTTTTCACAAGTAGTAAATAAAAGAATTGTTACCTAACTGTTATATTTTTGGATAATAAAACAAAGACATTTATATGCCATGTACTTTATTTTACTCACATAAAATTATTATATTTTACATATTTTTCATTAATTTAATATTTACTAATAATTTTACTTTTAAGTGAAATAAACCTACGCGCAGTAGTTTTGTTGTATTTCTCGTGATGACTCAGTCATTGCATTCTGTATGTTTCTCAAAAACATAAACATAAACCAACAGTTTCTTTCAAACTCCTTTTCGAGATATCCCCGGCAGATAGGCCTTCTAGTTTTTCAGCACGTTTGATCCCCAATAAACTTCTCATGTATACCCACATTCTTTCTTATGTTGGTAGGCTCTTAGGCTACAGTGTATTATTTGATTTAATCAAAATCTTCACAGCGGAAACCAGACTACTTAAGAAGTGAGATATAAATCACTGAGCACGTCCTAAACTATATTTGTACTAGAAACATATCAATGTAACCTATGGCTTTGTTGTAAGTGTTCATACAATCTTGTGTTAATTTGCAAAGTATTAGGTATAATTACGCCTTTTTTAATGTAATAAAGTTTATCAATGCCATCATCTCCCTGCTGTTTCCCAAATTGTCGGCGCTGTTTTGTAGAATATAGTTACGGTGCCGGTTCTTCGTAACAATCTAAATTAAAGTAAAGAGTATCCACACCACTTGTTCCCATAGTTTCCGTCTCTTACCTGAAGTTTCCAGCTGTTACCCATTGGGAAATATAAGTGAAAGTCAACAATATGACGCATATAGTTTTATAAAAACTAGACATCTCTCTACAATTCATAGGGAAACTCTGTATTTTATATGAAAATATAATAGTACAGTAAACCCCCTATAACGCGTTTAATGGTTACACGTCGTAGGAAACCGCCCGTATAACACGATTATCAACGGGGGTTTTGGGTTCTTTTTATAAATAGGAAATATCCGCGTTATAGGGGGTAATTTTAGCGTTATATGGGGATACGGAATTCGCGTTGTTACGAACTTTACTGTATGTACCTTGTAGGAATATTAAAGCCTTTGTAATATTTAGCTTGCACATCAATTACCATTGTGAATACTTAGTGCGGGCGCACACCTTTGACTAAACTATCGCGCAACTTGTGCGATCGTCGATTGTTTCGCAACTATTTTAACTATTTAGTTGCACAGCCCAAAGTCAATTTGTGTGCCACCTCAATATAAGCTCATAGGAAACAAAGCGAGAACAGTTTTGCGATGGATTAGTCAAATGTGGGCGCGCTCTTAGTATAATTGTTTTTGCATTTCTCACATCTGTCAGTATTAAATACCAAAAATAAATGAAGACTGCAGTAAATAATCTTTTATTTACGAAATTATATTATCCAGACATTGAAATAAACAGAAGCATTCGGTAATTAATTTAAACTTTTAATGTTAATTTTGTACTGGGAAGTACTACTTATTGTCGTTCTTTTTTTCAAAGCAATATATTGGTATAACAAAATCCTAATACTATCTACATATACAAAGTAGCTTCTTTATACAATTAACTTCAAAGTAAGATATAAACTCTTTTTGTTTTTTGACCGACTTCCCAAAAGAAGGAGGTACTCAATTCGTCTGTTTTTTTTACAATATAAAGTAGAGCTTTACAAGAAAGACGAAATCCACCGCTACATTAAGAACAAATATGAAACTAATTTCTTTACTTAAGAAAGTAATTTAATAAAGAAGCTGATTGCACCCAGGCTAAGGTTCTTAAATGCTTAGGCCAGTGATTCTCAACCACTGTGACACGGCACTTTTGTGTGCTGGCAAATTTTTATTATTTGTAATTAATCCCTTAATAAACGTTTAGTTATTATTATAGTATATGTTAGTTTATTTTATCTTTTTCTTTGTGTGCCACCAAATTTTGAAGTTGTTAAATATGTTCCGCAACAAAAAAAAGTTTGAGAATCACTGGCTTAGGCTATAAAAACTATATCAAAGTTTAAGTGATTAAAAAAAACACTTGTTAACAGTTTAGATTAAAAGCAACAAAGAGTTTATGCTAAATCTATTTACTAAAATACATTTCAGAACAGTTGATTTTAGAACCTGCTTTTATAATTTTGCATTGACTTATGGATTATTCCTAGCTCCTGCAGTCGCACGAATTTAAAAAAAAAGGTTACATTGAAAATATACATTTATTCAAAAAAATTGGTGATAGAGTCTAATGAAAAAAGAGATTAATATTTACATGAATTTTTAAAAAAGTTACAGATCGAAACCAAAAAGACATATTTAAGTTTGTGTCAATATAATTGCAAAAATATAATTTTAATTATATTCAGTAATATCTAACTTAAAGTAAAATTAGACTAATGTTAAAGTTGAATTATCCTCCTTTCTTCCACTTTTCTCCAGGGGTGTACTCCGTCATTGGCTTCCCCGATATTCCACATGTTCCTATACCAACTCTGCCAGACAGATTGTCGGGTGAGGCAAATATACTTTTATTCCGCACACCGGGCTTCTTGGATGCTTTTGAATGGAATGAGAGCCACTTGTTTTTGTCAGTTTCTCTTTCTTCCTCAATTTGTTTAAATCTTTGCTGCTTCTTCTGTTTTTTCTTCTTGAGATACTCTCTGTTGTAACCCTTTCCGTGTCTGTAAACATTTGTTAAAATAATGCCACAAATATAAAACACTATATAAACAAAACACTTCCAATGCCTACAATTAACTGTGCAAGTTCACAAAAATAGCTAAATTCAGAATATACAAATCCTAGCCTGGAGGCACTTTGATCAGCTTCTTTATTACATCACTATCTTAAGTAAAGAAATTAGCTCAGTGTCTTTCCACAATATGGCAAGGGTTTTTATATTCCAAGTCAAGCTAGTAAAAAAGCAAACTATTTAAGTATATTGTATAAGTTGTCTCATCTACAACTCTATTACTACTAAAACTGTGAATTGTTGAAATTGTAGCTTTTATGTTCATTTACAAAATCTGTGAAGTTTATGATGGATTAGTTGCATAATCAAAATACTCACTTGCTTTCATCACCACTATGGGATCTTTTGAAGCCAGTAGCTGTAGGTTTTATATCATTTATGGACACAACTTCTAATGTTGTATATCCATCAAACTTTACCTTCAAGGTATCAATATTAATTTCCTCAACAGAAGCTTCATAGAACCTGCAATTTAATTTGCAGAGTCATTACCAAATAGTCAATATATTGATCGAAAGTTTACATAGCAATACTGTGATGCAGTTTTAAAGGTTAAAATACCACATTATTTTACAAAGAATACTTAAAAATTGAATACATACATGCCGTCAGCCCTCCATTTAGCAAGGCACCTATCGCCAACATGCCACTTGCTAGCAGCACTATTGAAGTTACCTCCGTCGTCATCGCTCCGCGGGGAGGCTGCAACATTATCATTATTACTAGAACTATGAATATCAACTTTGATGTCACCCTCTTGAGTTTTTATAAGATCTTGAGTCAACTCAATTACTTCCTCTAGATCCGTCTTCAATTTAAGAAGTTCTTCATTTTCGGGATCAGTCAATAGGGCCGCTTCCACCTAAAATATTAAGGACATTTTCTATTTATGTAATACCGTCGCATAGCAAGTATGAAAATCAATTCGATTTAATATCGTCTCAGTTACCTGTTGTAATTGCAGTTTGTAATTTCTTAGATCCTCCGCCATTATTGTATTGTATTTACCTTTAAGTAGTCATAAAGGATTGAACTTACTGTTTAAACTAATATACGACTAGAGTTTTTTTTAAGTATAAATACTTGGTTTACCAAAATTGCTATTTTTATAACAATACACTAAAACAACTTGAAAAATTAACTTAAAACCACAACCATTTATATCAATACCAAATCATTGACAGTGACAGCTTGAAGCAAAAGTGGCACACAAAGAGTATGTAACTACTTCGTGATTCAAAAATGTTAACAGATAAGGTAAGAACTCTCAAGCGATATTCGTCCTCCATCTCTTTCAAAATAAAATCCCTAACGATTTGCATTAAAAAATGTATTGTAGGGGGGCTAACTTCACGCTAAAAATTGAAATTTCCTTTCTTTCAAACCTTCTAGAAGAGAATTTTTATTTTCAAAAATTCCGGGTGCCAAAATAACAGTGCACCTCTATATAGCACAGACCATATATTAAACCATGATGTCAATATAACAGTTAAATTGTCTATGAATTCGATTTTTTTTACTTTTATCTCGAACCAAAACGTCTGACACTGGAATTTGCCATCATATTTGGTCCTTTGGTGATTTAATCCTATCCGAAAAGACTATCCCAAATTTATTAACACAAGAATGGGCCCACACCGTACCTGGTCAAATCAAACTGACACGATCACTAAAATAACATTTATAACCTCTGCAAACCACCTATATTTTATCTAAAACTAGACAATCATTAGTTTATGGGGCGTTATTTTTGCTTTGCGAAAAATCCCCCTGTAAAAATAAATGATAAAAAAAAAGATAATGAGTACTCATTTCTCCAGTGCTCATCTTAAATAAACCATACATATTTTAGTACCATTTAACAGAATTTAAATCAATAAAAAAAAAGAAAAGTCTGTTAATTACTTTTAATCAATACATATTTCAGTACATTTAACATTTATTACAGCAAAATATTATATTAATTAAAAAAGCTTTGACTTTTTCTGATTATGATACAATTCCTTTAAAAGTAAAGATCATTCATGAAACAAAAAAAAAATCTATTAACTTTAACTATGGAAGAACTTATTAATCTCTTAACTAAGAAATAAATAGTAAATAGAAATTAACTAATCAAAAACGTATCTATTTCGAACGTAAAATAAAAAAAAAACACCGATTTTAAACAAAATAAGCTCATGATTGGATAACCCCAAGTAGTGATCAAAGGTTTTACTGAAGACATTTGGACACCTAATACTTCCAAACTTAAATAAACAATAAGTTAGTATAACAGTTGAGTCTCATTTGCTAGTATTATTTAAATAAAACGTTTCTTATCTACAAGCCTAAAGGTAAAAGGAATATAAAAAATAATTTCTGCAATGCTGATGCACACAAGGATATGATTATTCAATTATCCATCCATCGGCATATTATCCGCAATTATTTGTTTTTTTTTATTATTACAAAGTACTATGTTTAACAATGTTCCAAAAGAATCCTTTAAATTATTAAGGATATTGAAGATTTTTACAAAAGATGCTTACCATTTTTTTTATTATTTTTAAATTTTGAAGGAATGATTTATTAAAATGCATAAATTTTATATCTTTATAACTAAAATTATTTAAAAAAAAATAATAGTATTGCTTTTAAATACCAATAAATCGGTCATAATCCTAACCTAGCGACACAAAAACTTAGTAAATCTGTCACTCTAAAAATAAAACTGTCATTAATAAATGTACATACATGTTTTTTATTACATTTTGCTGTGTTGACATTGTTAATAAAAACAATCAACTAAGAATCAACCAAAACTATTCAGTGCAAAATTTAAATATAAAATTATTATTGTATCAGCATATTTCGCTGGAATTCTAAGTAACTATGTAATAAATGTAATTTTCCGGTAGTCTTTATTAACGCCGTCATATGTAAGCATTTATGAAGAGTCGTAAAAACTCTAAACATCACGAAGTTTAATTTTCATAGGATTATATAAGATCCTAAAAATGCATCCAAATGTCATGTATACAATAGCGTTATAAATACAGAAGGCTTCAAAGTTATTTCAGTTTTTTAGTATATCACATTAAATGATTCGTCAATATCCATACATAAGTATTAATATATAAGACAACTACAGTAAATTCGTTGTACAAACACTTGATACGTATATTTTAAATAGAATCATATGAACAACATTTGGTGAAAGCCTATGTCCAACAGTGGGAAGAATTTGATAAACAAACTGACTGGAAAATTAGTACACTAGTCACAGCATATTAAAAAAAAAATTAAACATACGGATTTATAATCTAAACTACAAAAGCATCGTGGAGTATTCTACTATTATTGTATGTACGAAGTAACCGAAGTCATTCATTGGAAAGTCATTCGTTCTTAATCAGTCCCTGTTTATCAGTCTGCAAGTAACTGATTACTGAATGAAGTCTTATGACCTTCAAACTAAAATGACAGCTCAGTAGCGCGCTCTTGTATCAAAAAACGTGTGTCAAGGTCCTTTTCATACTTTTGCTTTTTTTTCTTTTATGTCTGTATTCGTTGATGCCAGTTATGTGTCGACGCTGACGAGATGTGTCTGCAGCGCGGTAGACTGGTGGTAGCGGCGGCGCGACGCAAAGTCCTCGTTGTCGTCGTTCAGCCGCTCCTGCTCCACGGATATGTCGCCGTGCACCGGAGTCACCACCAACTGCTCATACTCCAGAGGTCGCTTGCTATTTACAAAGGAAAACTGTTATACTTAAATGCATTATGAACGCCTAAATGAGGGCTAAAGTATTACAATCTTACTAATATTGGTATGCGAAAGTTTAGATGGATGGATGTTTCTTAGAGTTTATAGTCTAAACTGCTGAACCGATCTCAATGAAATATGGCATAAATGAAGAGGATAGTCTAGAAGAACATATAAGCTACACACTTTTGTCTCTTTAATTTCATCCGAACGGAGTCGCGGGCAAAAGCTAGTAATACTATTAATTTAGAATTGAATTTGATTTAATCATACTAATATTATGAATGCGAAATTAGATGGATGCACGTTTGTTTACGAAATCTCTAAAACGGCTTAACGGATTTTGATGACCTTTGGCACATGTATAGAACATAGTCTGAAAAAACATATAAGCTATCGAACAATTTTTTTTATCTTGTAGATAAGTTGCGGTCGGCAGCTAATTTACCCGATAGCTTGTAAGAATGATATCTTGAGCCAGTGGAAGAATCTGAATTCCGAAGCGCGGCCTGGCTTGACGGCGGGGTTGGCAGCGCCGATGTACAGCCACAGCAGCCACAGGATGGTCAGGCAGCCCAGCGCGTACGCCCAGTGCACCAGCACCATCAGCGACAACTTCACCGCCACCTGACAAATACATACAGACAAACTCTCAAATTATTTCAATTATGGAAAAAAAATCATTACTCACATCGTGCGATAATATATTTACAGACATTTAAAAAACATATAGACTAGGCATAGTGAACATTCTTTTTACTCTGGTACCTTCTCTGAAATGTTTATAATACTATACAGGCATTGCCTAGTGTGGGCATCATCAGATTAAACATATTAACCATAAATTGTAAATAGGTTTAAGTTAATATAACTGTAATTGTAATTGTTAATCTTTTGTTTTTCAATAAAAATACTTGTATTTCTATCAGTTGTCGTGTTTAGGTCACCTTGAGTCCTTGTTGACATGTAGTAAAACATTTTACGTAATCATAAGCTCCATTTTTGTTATAACATAAGCGACTTCGTCCGCGTGAAATTAAAAAATATAGCCTATTTTACTCACAGATAAATTACCTTTCTAATGGAGAAAGATTTTCTAAAATTGCCCAGTAGTTAATATGTGAATTGAATACATACGAAAATATAAATCTTTCCTCTTTATAATATTAGCATAGAGTATAGATTGTAAAATGTTTTAAGTAAAGTGTCAAATATGCCTCCTCTATATTTTTTTAATCTCTTTGTTTATAATAAGAATTGCAGTGAAAAACTTACACCAGCAAGGGATAGCCATCTGTTGCAAAGATGTGAATACCAATTTTTATTCTTCGAGTGTACACTGACGCTGGGGCGACGCACGCCGTCGCCGTTGGCCATGCGCCCATTCATTATTGCCGAGTCGCTGGGAGATGGAGTGAAATCCTACAAAATAAGAAAAAACATGCTAATTTATTTGACAAATCTTTATGAAATCACAAGTTTTAAAAATCAATGAAAGCTATGGTAAGAAGTTAACTTACGCCAACGTTTTTGTGTCGTATTCTTTCGGGAAACAAGAGGTCGAGATCACTTCCCGTGGCTCCATAGACTTGTGGGTCTCTTTGTGCGTGGCCTTGGAATCTGAAAAAAAAATTCTATATCACCTTCAGGAACGAATTTAATTGCCTCTATTTGATAATAAGACTACTAACAGATTTTAAAATGGGCAAATTTACTTGAATTTTCAAATTGGCTAATGAAACATGTGTGAACATTGGACAACAAAGAAAAATATCAAATCATACCTCATTTCACGTTTATGTTGCAGATCAAATGTCTGGGCGAGGGCAAAATAAGAATAATCAATACTAGCGTAAGTGATGAGGAAAGGCATAGTGACGATGGGCGCCAGCTTGTTGATGTCTCCGATGATGATAAATGTCACCGTCACAACTGCCACTACCACCATTGAGTAAACTGGCACCTTGTTAGGTCCCCGCTGGAAATATAAACAAATAATATTGCACATTCAACATAACTTCCTTGGACATATGTAACAGTTATAAAGAAAAATTAAATTATTTAGACTTTTGTGATACATTATTGTAAGTAATAATTTAACAGCTAGTACTCACATTTATTTTATATCTATCTTAACGAAATAAAGAGTGCGCTAGCTGTTCAGTTTTTTTTTAGTTTATTTTCGTAATAACAAAATACTTTAGTTTATTAAGAAGTAATGCATAAAAAACATTAATAGGCTTGATTAAACAAATTGTAAAACAGATACTTAATATTACTTCAAACATAAATTTTTCACAAAATAAAGCGAGTCATTAAAAAATAAGTTTTTTTTACCCCATGTCCGAGTATATCCAGTCCAGGTATAACTTTTTCATTGGCAATGCTCTGTAGAACTCTAGGTGTGCCGTACATAGCACCTAAGCACGAACTCATAGAGCTGACGTACAACCCAGCCAGCAGTAAAACTGTCAAAGCTGATATATCTGCTGTTATTGAGAAGTTTTTAAGCAGAGCCTCCCTTGTTACTGTCGCTGCCAATGTGATTATAAACATCAAGTACAAAAATGTTCTGAAATAAAATTTACAATGTTTATAATTATACAGACACATTTGCAATTAGCATTTAAAAATATAGACTTAAGATATTGGCATATTACAAAAAGGACAAACAATTTTTTTTTATGAAAGTATCTATGAATATGTTTTTTCATTTATTATAATAAAGCATTGGTCAATCCATAATTATATTTTGTTGTAAAAAAAACTGTTTGTTATATTTTTCTATCTATGCATATATAAAACTTACCCAGTGCTAATGGCAGCTAAAGAACCATTAGGAATGTTAACGGATGGGTTCTTCAAGTCACCACTCATGTTAATTCCTGCCAGTATGCCAGTGATTGTGGGAAAGAAGACACCAAAACATTTGAACCATGTGTAGCCATCTTGATAATTGGACCAGGTATTGTTAGCTATTGTACCACCCAACCAGCCTTTAAATTCTGCAGCTAAAAAGATACAAGACTAATTAAAAAAAATACTATAATAACTACTTTTTCGCAATGTACATTGAAACCATTTTATAGCTAAAAATATTGTTTAGTTAACTTAACATATCTAAATCCATTAGCTTTTGATTATTATAAATTCTGTATTTGTAAGTGTAATATCAAACACATTATCTTGTACATGTCAAATAAATTAGGAGATTATAAGAAAAGTATATTACTGCAACAAAAATAATTTAAACAGTATTATGTGTGTTTTCACTGCTGAAACACCTAACACATATTTTTACAGTAGTTTACAAACCTAAAGTAACTATGTAATTTTAATAGATTGTTAAATTAGAAAGAAACTTTTTTATTTTTAAAAAGAGTTTTCAAAGCAGTCATATACAAACAATAACAGATAAAAAAAACTTTTTGTACTGTTTTACATAATAATTTTAGTTCACTTACTAGGAACTGTTGTTAGAGATCCAACAAAGAAGTCAATAGCTGCTAACAAGATAATAAGTAATAAAACAAACTGGAGTTTTATCACCCATTTAACTCCAGCTACATTTATTACTCCTAAGAGAAGTACAGCAGCAATGGCAAAGCCCCGAGCTGCCCATGTGTTGTCAGAACCAATTAAATTGGCCATTGATTCACCAAAACCAAATACATTAAGGGCACATCCAACTGCCTGCAAAAATAATTATACAGTGTGCTAACTCATGTGTATTTTTAATTATATAGACTGTATCATGATAAACTATTCTTAAGAAACAAAACTCACTTGGCCAAAACAATACACCATCCCTAGTGTTCCTCCCATTCGTGAGCCTAAAGTATGTCCAAGTAAAAAATACACCCCTCCACTTTCTATTCTACATCTTTCACATATACCCACCGCTGAAAGGACTGAGATCAGAGCTACAAAGACTGAAACAAATTCATTTAGTTAGTAATTCTATATCAGACATTGATATCAAAATCTTTTGAAAGTTTTTCTCTTTTTTGTTAGTACTACAACTAGATACTTGAACAATACGTATAAAAGAACGCACCTGTGAATATCACTATAAATATGCCATTAACTAAACCAGCTTGGCCTACAATCCAGCCAGATCTTAAAAATACAATTACACCAAAAATGTTGATAAGGCATGATGTGAATACTCCATCCCAAGTTCCAAAAAGAACTGGCTGTGATATGAAGAAATTTGACTTCCACCAAGGAACATCTCCCTAAAAATTAAAAACGATTCAGTTAGTCACATCATGTAACAGTAAATTAGCTATAACTGTAAAAAGGATTGCGCAAAATTGATTTCTTATGACAAATTCACATTACTTACCTGTATATCAGCGAAAATTTCGTTAGCGCCAGACGCTTGGTGACCACCTGTACCATATTGTGACTCATTTCCAAAGTCAACGAAGCCTCCAGATTGTCTTCGCATACGCGCACGGTCGTATCCAGGTTCTTCATTCCTAAAACTATCTATGTCTAAATCTCGTCTAGAGTTATTACTTTGATCCATTTTATAAAAATAACAACTTATAAAACCATTATCAAAATAGTTTATCTTATAAATACATAATGAAAGCTACTTTTGCGGTAATCTGCTAATCTGACGTCAACGTATGTTTATCATTTATGACAGATGTCAGAACTGTACTAAAATCAGTGTTGCCAATAAAAATTTTTGGGCCGTAGCGGTGCTAAAAAAAAAGGAAAAACTGCTCAATAGTAGTTGAATTTTAATGTTTTAATCATAAATGAAATGTGTTATGATCGTTATGAAAATCGCAATATATTTAGTCGTAAATAGTTCTTTGAATTTCATTATTTCCAATACAAATCGTTGTTAATTAACGTTTTTTTTATTTTTCACTCAAAAGCTTTTTTTAGATATTCGTTATTATCCCCGTTTTAAGAAAGAGAAAGCTAGAATAAGAAAATTCTGTTGAAGAAATAACATCTCTTAAACCAAACTTTACACCCCCTCTTTATACGAGTACCTTTAAAGGATGAATATCATAAACTTTTTATGCAGCTCTTCAAAATAGTAGTAGAAACTCATTTGCAATATTTCTAGTACGAAGGCCTCTTAGCTACGTTGTGATATAATATTTCTTGATACGTAGGTACTTTGACCCCCGTTTTAAACATTTTAAAATTTGAAAATGCTTGAATATCGTAGTTAAATATTTGTTCGCAAAAGCATATGTCTCAGTTTTCCAGTTCTGCATTAGGATATCGTCCGCGATGAGTTTAAAAGTTCTAAACAGATTTTCATCTCTTTATTTAGACCTTAGTATTTAATTAGTAAAAAAGTGGTCTTAAAAACATAATCAGTATGGACACCAGAACTCTACCAGTCTTATTTCGTCTACTTTTTTTCTTTTTGGGCTATTATATAAATTTAGTATTACATAAAATAGAATAATATTTGTGTCCGGTGTTTTCTATTTACTTGTTAGTATGTAAGCTTACAGTTGTGTTATTAAACACAAGGAGCCAGAAATAGCTTGTTTAAATTCCAAATTAAAAGCTTGACCTTGTAATATTTGGTACTAAAAACGAGCGGTTATAGCAAAGAAAAACATTTAAGTAAAATGAAAACATACTTCATTAAAGGTTTACACGGTGGTTTTCGAAAGAAGGGCTTTTAATTTTTAAAGAGTAAAACATATACTTACATGCTTTTTTATAAAACTAATTTATCACAAGGCCTATATGGCAATGAAAAAAAAAAATTTTTTTTGTCAATAAACAGTGTTTAATTTTATTTAAAATGCAAAAAACGATAAGCTGGTATAGGATTGAATTACTTATAGCCTTCGCCAACGAACAGTAGTACAAGGGAGAAGTTTCATTGTACAAAGAAATTTAACTTTTATTTCTACATCAGAAGTTAAAATCGCTTTTAAGAAAAGTTCGAGAAATACAAAAATCCTTTTAACGCAACTCGTAGCTGTGTAGCCTTTTCAGCATTCATCTTGAGCTTCCTACCTTTTTTTTAATGAATTCATGAATTGAAAAAAAAATTGAAATTGTAAAATTCATTGATTGTAATATTCAAATATTACTATTTTTTTTCTAAATATTGTCACCTCTATTTTATTTCAAAGACAAATATAAGAAATGGTGTTAAATTTACAGAAGCCCACTTTTTTTACATTAGGTGATCCATAAAACGTAAATATAAATTGAACAACCATTTGAACAATTATTTTCGTCATCACCGTTACATTATTTCTTATTCATTTCTTTCTTATTCTCATTAAGGATATATTATAATGCTACAACCTACTACAACTATATAACTTTAAACTGTCGTGGTTTTTACAAATATAATGTTCGTAAGATATGGGTTTCTTACCACGATTGAATTGTTTTAGCTCCCCATATTCAGTCTATTCTATAGTATTCAGTCAGCCCGTGAACATGGCGCATGCTACTGTGCCGAAATATCGGGAGCTAAAACAATTCAATCGTGGTAAGAAACCCGTATCTTACGAACATTATATCTACTACAACTATTCTCAAAATCAATTATTTTTTTTTGTTCCGCCCTACTTGTAAACATTACTGCCCTAACTCAAATTCGACTCGAACTACAGTAGTTAGTGCATTAAATCCAGCAGATTCAGTTCTTATGGTGACGTGTTAGTTGTAGCGACTTGTAGCGCCTTGCTACGGTGCTACGATTGGTCATTGATCACTGGAAAAGGGTACACTCTACGAAAAAGTTTAATTACGATTACGACCGACAAACACTCCTTTATTATATTTCGTTTACCGAATTAGAATTTGAAAAAGAATGAAGTTTGAAAACTTTTAGGATTAACGACATAGAACATATAGTTATCAAACCGGGTTTTTAATATATGTTATTTGCTTAAGCTTAGTGCTTGTATACAACTCACTTATTATATTGTCTTTGAACAGTCAAAATTGTTCCATTTTAATTAAAGACCTTATATGTATGCACTTTATGCAATCAGGTCAGCGAGTTCATCTCGTACTTCCCCATTCTTTTTATAGCTACAAGTCGCGCCGCTGATGATAAATTAAATTTTCATTCTTCTAGTAGCTCCGATGTTTGTATTGAAACTACAAAAGAAAAAATGTCGTAACTATATTTTATTGCAATAGTAATTAAATATATACTTAGGTAGTACATCAATGAATTCGCAAAATCGAAAATACCTGACTAAATGTGTTTATATTATTTTATTGAATAGCAATTTTTAATTTAAAATTTATAACAGAAATATATAAACTTAATTAAAATCATGGTTAACTCTAGGTTAAAAAGATCATAAGTCAACAATAGAGTTCTCTGTATTATACTTATCTGCTAAGACCATATAAATAGTAAACGGTAAATGAAAACATGCCAAAACACGACTGGAATATCGTAGAGCTGACATGCTTCCCGAATCCATAACGCCATCGTTAAATCTACGATGACACTTCAAAACATCGTATCGTCACTCAAGGGCTTGTTTACGTAAATTTAGTGACGTCCTTTTCAATACTCGATGTCGCCGAGATTCTTTTTATGTTCATGGAAGTAAATTTGGTAAGTACTTAAGGAATTTTAGAAACCGATTCACTTAGTAGCAACCTAGAGTCATTTAGTTGGTACAAAATGTATTGAAGTAAACTTATGTCAAATCTTGTACTGTTGTTTAAGCTCTTTAGCGCGCCGTAACTTATTGTAATGCGGTGCTCCATCAAGGATTGTTTTATTCAACACATTGTATGTTTACTGCTTACGTACAACCACTGAGATTGTTTCTATCTCGGACCAAAATAAACCAATTGGAAGAAAAGGTTCGGTCTCTTGAGGTTCTATTTCGAATAATCAATTTTCTTACAGCTATTGTACGACTTATAGATGTTTGTATTTCTACGTAGTATCCTTTATCTAGTCCCTATCCAATATAGAGCAATCTTCGCGCGGGATACGGGCAGGGTTAAATAAAAACAAAGAATATTTTCCGCTACGCTCGTATACGGGCGTAGTATCCGTTCGCCGTTCCATAAATGAAAGTTATACGCTTGTTACTTTTTATGGAACTGCAGGTCTGGAATAAATTGAAACAGGTATGGCGTTAAATATTAAAATTACAATAGGGCACAGGAAAGAATCGGCGTGCGGGCACGATGACCTGAATGTTGAGATCGCCGGCAATTAGAATTAGAGGTGTGCGGCGGGCGAGGGCGGGCGAAGTTGGGTGGCGGGCAGGGCGGAAGGCGGGCGGCGGGCGACGGGCGGCGTCGTGCGAGCGGCAGTCGCCCCGCGCCCGCGCGTCGCCGCAGTGCCGCGCGCCAGTCGCCAGACGCCGCGACAGACGCGCCGTAGTATGCCGGCGCCGCGGGTTCGTAGTCGACGCGCCCGCCCGCGCGTCTCTCGCGCGCTCGCGCCACCGACCACGGCCGCTTGTCCATCCGGCCCGTGCGCCCTAACGCACGCAAACTCGCGCGTTCCTACTCTATACGATGAAATGTAAATATTTATGGATGTCAGTTTTGAGTTGTTTAGATTGGCTGTGAAATTCAAGGTATGTAAGTAATGTCTGGTGTTTCGATTTTTCTACTTTGTTTATGACCGTTACTAACGTTTAGACGCGCCGGTCGTTCTGAACCTGATGAAATCCTATTACTATAATGTACTCGTACTCTGTTTTCCCGCTCATATTCGGTGTCTACGATACGATTAATTGACGGTGATAATTTCGATTAATGGCGCGCCGAATGCCCTTCTTTATTTGGATCAATAGTTTGTTATTAAGCGTTGTCAGTGTTAGGTTTAACTGATTTATCGCATTATATATTGAAACGTGATTAAATGACGGCGATGGCAGTGGCAGATGGCAGGCCGTGGACGGTGCGCCATGCCGTCGGGCCGCGCGCCGCCGCAACATATGAAATTTACGACTGCTCATTAAATACTTTACAATTTTATTCCCCACACATTGACCACAGTTTATACACCACGTGCTACAAAAATAATAAGACAGCTAGGCTATTAACTGACGCAGATTGTAAAATAAAAAATACACTTGAAGTATCCTGTTTTATATTAGGAAACTTACTTTTTAGCTCCTTAGCTTAAAACAAATCCCTATTAATTTTTGTTATCGATTACCGCTTTATTTATTTTTTTCTGTTCCACATTTAGATCCTTTGGAAACGTATCTATTTAATTATACATAGAAACATAACATTGATTGCAATAAATGTTTAGGTGAAAATGAAATCAACAAGGCGTGTTCGAGTGCATGAAGATGCTATACGTCATAGGTAATATTTTACAATTTTTTTAATTTAAATAATGAGTACCTACGTAGACTTGCGTAGTTTTATTTAAATACTTTTTGTTTTAATACCAAAATCTAACTTAACCTTCCCTAATCATATATTTTGGTTTGCTATTGTAGTTAGTTAATGAATACAATAACTAGTACTTCATCATATGACAAATAAGACAATGAAGGTAGGTTGTAAAAACTAACTATCAATTCTAACCAGGTTTTTATAGATATAGAATAATACACCACATGTATAAACACTGCATACATAGCATTATACCTATCTACTTATATTCATCCGTTAAAGGTATCGTTTTTGATAAGCTTATAAATGGATTTGATAAGATAATTTACACTTCCCCTTCCAATTAAATCACCGGCTTAGGACAGACAAAAACTAATACTAGTTGATATACCGTAAAATGTGTCAAGGTGAATTTAGCAAATTTACACATGTAAAGTGCTAATATGAAAAATGCATCAATACTTTAGTGTTTATTAATTTAAACGCTACAGTTATTCTTTGATCGATGTCTTTTATTTCGAACTGTTCAACTATCCTACATCTAGAAATCGATCGATCAAGTAGTAGTTCACTTCTCCGTGTTATTCTACAATACTTATTTTATAAATCTACTAGAGATTCCCGTGCGGCTTCATCCGCGTTTAAATTCTCAATTGCAAATGTCAAAATTACCGTGACCATAATAACCTTGCTTCCTTAATGTTGGCAGCTTGTAGTTTATGGTCCCTTTCCCACATGAAAGTTTTTTCTAATTTACTTACCCCCTAAATTTAATAGCGTTAAAATGTATAGCCTAAAGCGTGTCGTAAGTGAAGGGCGTTTTATTAAAGAAAGATTTATTCAAAAATATGCTGTAATTGCTGACATCTTAGGCAACAAAGAAGTGTGTGTTTACGCTTTATTATAATAGAATAGATTATCAAGAGAATATAAGAAACTATCTCTTTCCCAGGTTGAAATTTTACCCTGCCTATCATTTAGTACGAAAACGCCGACTAAATCATTACAAAACTTCATGTTAAAGATGTATCTTCGTAGAGTATTTATCGTCACAAAACATCAGGTAAACTGCTTAATCGTTTGACACTTTCAACTAAAAGAATTACATTATAGTCTAGGTTATAGTTAATTTTATTATAAATCGGACAATCTGTGACAGAGTTTCAATTAACATTAAACTATATGATAAACTAGAGTTTAATTACTTATATATACCCGTATACATTATTGTTTTTTATAAAACCCATGAACATATGTATCAGATATCAACTATAACATATTTTATCTCACTTGATTGAACTCAACTCAAGATTTGTCAAGACGCTAACATATTTCTTATTACATTAAATTGTATGTACCTGTTAAGTTAATTGCTCTCATTTAGTAAAGTCGCCAAGGAGCAAAATGCATCGAGACTAGAACTTGTTCGTGTAAAAGAACAAAGAGAAAGACAACAGATAATAAAGAGTAAATGAAAGGCATTTAGTCGCAGACTAAGACGTTTCCACTCTCAGTGGAAATGATTTCCGGCGCGGATACAACACGAAGCGACGTCGAGCTCCACTTAAAAGAATCTCTGATGCTTTAGCTAGTTCTTCGTGATGCGCCCTTACATGTTTATGACAGTTTATGAGTTGAAACGTTAGAGTGTATATGATGCCAGCATTGAAAGTATTGTTCGCATTTCCATTGCAATGCAAAAAATAACACAAAACACATATATTTGGTTTACTAAGTCATTAAAAGAACTTTAATATAATCATTTTAGATTTATATTTAGTATTTTTACCTTATTTTGATGATTCGTATATTTATAATGACAATAACTACTTGTTTTTCAATTGTATTCCATCAACAAACATAGATATTTAGAGATACATTTGTTTATATAACTCCATGCGTTGCACTGTGGTCCGAGACATGTGCCAATATGTCATCGGCATCCGTGTTACTGACATGTATCAATGTTTCTGCTCGTTGTCGGGACTTGTTGTGGACGGACAAAACGAAGGGATTGTTTATGAATCTCCCACACTGTAACAGATTGGGAACAGCTGAAACTACAGAATTCTAACTGTTCATAAGTAATAATCGCCAAAACCATGATTTCAAAGTATTCACTAATTTTAATACGCTCATGTTTAAAATGTATTTTTTATGCTACATCTTTGGCCCGACTTTTAAAATCATCCAGCTTATTTCTGTCAGTATTTAAATTACAACTTAGCTAAAGCGCAAACCATTTGCGTTATCTCTGTACTTAAAACGGTTTTACTTATTAAAAACGATAACTGCATGTTAATAGTCATTGTTATCTTTATAAACTAGTGTTAGTGACGTCATTACCGGCTCGGGTAGAGAAAATTATTGTATTCCGCTAACACAGCAAACGTAATTAAAAAATAATCCTCTGTAATATTTGCTACTTCGTTTAAAATTAATTCAGTAAAAGGGCGTCTTATATTTACCTATCTATCATCAATAAAGTATGCTCGCCTCAGTATTATAGAATAAGAAAATACTGCTAATTTAATATTTAGTATTATCAACTAATTAGGATTTTTTAATAAAAGATTAACATAAGTAATATCCAATCAGATTTTCTAATTGACATACTATAACACATCATTGAATTTGAGAGTGTAAGTCTCAGGCACAGCTATTAATCCCTTTAGCCCTGATTACTTTGTTTACATGGATCATGGTTACGTAGCTGTACTAGGCCGAGTTGTAATACGACTTAATGTCTGTCTAAGAATCATTTATACAAAGAAATGTTTGTCAATAATCATTTCTAATTCTAGATTAAATTTAATTATTTACCAAATTATTAAATTCATTGTAATTGCAGATACAAATTATTACTAGTATTGTCAGCATGAATTGCAGTAAGTACAACTTAAAAGAGCCATCTTTTTCTTGTGATTTTTCTCGCTAAGTGTTATAAAAGACTGCTCATTGTCTCATAAAATGTTTCTATCAGAAATAGATCGAGTGTGTTGGTAGTTCTAATTCCGTTTACGCACGCCTCGTTGATGTGTTTATGTACACTTGTGTACATACAAACACGTTATATCTATCGTATTATGTAAAACATTTACCTTAAGTGCCACTGGCAACTGAAAAGGCGGTTAAGTGCATCTTACACCAAGCTTAAGCACTTAATCTATTTTCAGGACTTTTCAGGACAGTTGAGTCAATATTTCTAACAAACTAACTCCATAATTGGTTTATTAATCAGAGTTTATTCATTTTATAACTTCAATATTTAAAAGGAATAAATGCAAAATAATGTTAAATTTGGAATATACACTGTTACGAACTCTTTTGAACGTATAGTTGATTATTGCAATTATTGGTTAATTTAATACTGGAGTGATCTATACTTTTCGTGAATTATAAAATCAAGTCTATTATCTAAAATAGATTAATATAGTTTATTTTATAATGCAATTTTAAATAAAAACATAAACAAAATGTCTTGCTAAAATATCAACTCAAAATGGTTATAATTTGCGATTTTTTCCCAGATCCGCGAATTTTACTGATTTATATTTTTTCTGTGTATAAGTCTTTACAAAAGGATAAATACATTTCAATACGATTATTTTCGGTTAGATATTTGCCGAGATGTTGTCACCTCGGCCATTTGTGACGCCAATGACCGTCCTTTTGTTTGCTAGCGTTGAAAATGATGCAAATTTCGTTGTAGATGACTACCAATTAAATTTTACAAGGATTTTAACGACCGAGGCCAGTCATATGGTTAAGTATTGAATTGTTTATTTTAAATATACGTGTATGCGTTTTTTGTGTACCAATAACATGATCATTTACGTTGCCACACCAAAAAAGTTTAGAACAACTTATTGTGAAGAACACTTTATAAATAAATCACACTGTACTATATTTATACAAAATCATAAACTTAAGACAGCTGTTAACTCCTCCTAAACAATAATACTTATTGCAATTCGGACGGCAAAAGTTTTTACTTGACACTATTAAACATTACTATTAAATAAATGTATAATGTTTAGATAGAGTGTTATAAATACAACAAGCCGTGGTAAAAAAATAATTAAATCATATACATGAATTCATCATCATCGTGAAGTTCATAACTTTAACTTGCTGCCGCCGCAAGTACAGTAAATGATTTGCTGAAGTTACTCTTAACTTATGCAAAAATAGTTCTGCAACGCTTATCGTTCAACTTTTCCTATGCGGAAAAACACAAAGGAATAAGCAATGGTTGGTATTTAAAATTTAAATTGGTCGTAGCAAAGCCAGTAAAGCACTAAGATGCAAATGAGACAGGTGCGATATGAACTAAGCCGCCGCATTATTTTCATATGTGGTTCTTCTACGACGAACTTATCTTTATGATCTGATCAGATATCGCAGCAAAACAACTAAATTGGCTTGCCGTAATTATTTTTGACCTTATGTTGTTAATATTAGATTAGCTAAACTAAAAGTTGCGAATAAAAAACGTAATAATCTATAAGTTTCCTTGCACCAATCCCTAAAGACAAACATTTGCAATAGCGGTTATTATCAATGAGTAACCAGATAAGAAATATTTGTACGTTTCACATGCTGAATGAAGTAGCAGGAGGTATAAAATTCTAATACTAGCGAATGATTTTTCTGGACGGAGATCGATAAACTGTCTAAAATCAACCTACGCGTAACGCTCAAATCGAACAAAAGCGCAAGAAGGTTAAGTATTAAAAGATTATTCTGGAATCTGTGTACGCGGAAATAGTTTTATTATTCTACGTATATGTTTATCTTATTGTAACATATATTGTAAATAAGGAATTTCTCACTCAGTATTTGGGAAAATTAAGAGGCATCAAAAGATTTTTAAGACAAATAATTTCAAAACCATTATATCATACAGTTTGAGAACCTCTGATAACTTATAGATTATAAAATGCCTTCTAGTATAATATAAAAAG